TCTAAATGGATTACAAAATCTGCAACTGCACTAAGACTGTATAGTGTTCATCCTTTCTACTAAGAGAGACAACAACGACACTTTTCTGCCCAATAGAAGATCACTCCCTTTCCAAATTATCATTCCTCTTTCTTCACCCAAGATGATTATTAAAGAACATCCCATGCTTCGACAGGTAACAAAGTACAAGGTTCTGAGTCAAATTAATGCTCTGGTCAAAGAGCGCTCCCTCTCAAATTAGTTACACTGATGGTTCCTTGCACCAGTCCTATGGTGCAGCTGGAAGTGCAGTTGTTGTGACAGCGAGAAATGCCTCCTATTCTTATGAGTGTTGAGCTCATATAAATAACTGGGTTTCAACTCTTCAAACAGGATTGTTTGCCATAATCTTTGCACTCGAACGAGTATATGAATCCTGAGTTGACACGTTAATTGTGACTCCTTGTCATACTTGGCTGCACTCGCCTCCCCAAGGCATAACTGTGACGTGCTTGTGTTTTTAGCTAGTCACAGATATAATGAAATAATCAATTATGGAGTCAGAGTTTGTCTCCTGTAAATTCCTTCACATATTGATCTCCGTATGTGTGATAGAACTGATGAGTTAGCCAAAACCTTAGCTCGTAAAGAGGGAACTGATTACCATCCTGGATTGCTTTTTAGCAGTCTGAAGGCAGCAATAATCCGGGAACTGCAACGAAATCTCGTTGATCTGAGGCAAAGTGAAATTCGCACCAGTTACTCCACATATCATTCTGTTATGCAGGAAGAACCGCACAGCTAAGGATCATCTAAATAAGGTTAGCAGACTTTTATACGTTACCACTGCTAGACTTAGACTAGGCTACACGTTACTACTGCTAGACTTAGATTCGGCTACACGTTACCACTGCTAGACTTAGACTAGGCTACACGTTACCACTGCTAGACTTAGACTAGGCTACACGTTACCACTGCTAGACTTAGACTAGGCTACACGTTACCACTGCTAGACTTAGACTCGGCTACACGTTACCACTGCTAGACTTAGACTAGGCTACACGTTACCACTGCTAGACTTAGACTCGACTACAAGTACCTCTGGGAGTTTGCATCACCTACTGACGTAGACCTGACTAAATGTAAACTGTCAACAATACTATTTACATTGCGTCACTATATAACTGAATGGAAAAAAATCGCGGAATTCAGAGATAACTCTGTCAATGCTGTCCAAAATTTGTGTAAAGTAATTCATTCATAATAATGTATTACTAGAAATCTTAACCTAGTATGTAAAGTTGACTTACTGTAGGTGCAGCCTGCACATGACTGTAAAGCTGCCGCCCAGTTGGGTGGGTGTGGAGCGGGATTATGAACTGTGTAACTAACGTAAATTGTGTAAAATTGTGTAAAAATTAATGTAAACCGCAGATGTAAATAGTGTGTTACAGAAACTGTTGTAGACCATTTCTTGAATCAATTTTGGTGTTAAAAGACTATTGATATATGCACTGCAAGTGTATTTGTGAATGTATGTATGCATATATATTTTCCACCACCGCTCGCGGGATGGGTGGAGTGGGTATGGGTGCATAATAAATTAACTAAAAATTAACATGGTCGAATAACGCCCAAGATCGTTCTCAAATAACGTCCAAAATTAACATGCTAAAATCTGGTCATATTCCTGTAACACAATTTTTGTTAATTACACAACTTTTATTCTGAAAACACACAGAAGAACGTGATACAGTGGTTGCTAATTTGGTACATAAAAGTACATATTTAATAAGTCACTAAGTGAGCGTCACTGTATCACTGCATGCCAGAGAGGGCTCAGAGATAGAGTGCGTCCCTATAACTCAGGGAACCTCACCAAAACAGTGGCCAGCACCTCGTAAGAGCCGGATACTACTGTCATGTGTGGAGTGTGCCAAAAGGGGTCCCGCCTTGATCGTAAACTACTACACCAGCGCAGGTATCCCCCTTGAGGTAGGAGGGAAAACTTTACTCTAAATTCCATGCTGCAAAAGGAAGAGATAGGGTAGATAACGAGGTCATTTAGCACGGGGCAATGGATGCAGTATTGCACAGGCGATGACAATCGCCTGTGCAATACCTCCACTCATTCATAAACCTGTCAGGATCATCCACACCTATCAGTAGTATCATGGCTGTCGGTAGCCCTCATCTGTCGGTAGCCCCCATCTGTCGGTAGCCCCCACCTGTCGGTAGCCCCCATCTGTCGGTAGCCCCCACCTGTCGTAGCCCCCATCTGTCGGTAGCCCCCATCTGTCGGTAGCCCCCACCTGTCGGTAGCCCCCATCTGTCGGTAGCCCCCACCTGTCGGTAGCCTCCATCTGTCGGTAGCCCCCATCTGTCGGTAGCCCCCACCTGTCGGTAGCCCCCATCTGTCGGTAGCCCCCATCTGTCGGTAGCCCCCATCTGTCGGTAGCCCCTCATTCACCTATCACCTTCATCTCAAACTCCTCTTTCTCTCACACATCCCCGTTCGTCCTCTCTCCCCATGGCACCACGTGCTTTAAACAATATTCCGGTCCATCCCTTCAGTATTATAAGCAAATCCGCGCGCAGCTGTACATGACCAAGCATCCCTACAACAGGCGTTCAGAGAACCCTTCACGCCCGACACTTGCCTCCCTGAACCATGAAAAGTACACTTAAGAGCCGCTCTTAACGTGAACACACAAGTTGCTCCCAGGCTTCGCTATCAACAAACTGGACCGGCGAGAGGGGGGGAAGAGATCGCCAGGGCGAGAGGGGGGGGGGGGAAGAGATCGCCAGGGCGAGAGGGGAAAGAGATCGCTTGGGTTCGAAGAGCAAAGATCGCCTGAGTGAAAGAGAAACCGGTTCATCTCCAACAGGTCTCATTTAATATTCCTACTCCCGTTTTTATTTTGTGTTTTAAAGTCTCAGACTAAAGTAGTTAAATCCTTGGCTTGGGGTGTGTGTGTGTGTGTGTGTGTGTGTGTGTGTGTGTGTGTGTGTGTGTGTGTGTGTGTGTGTGTGTGTGTGTGTGTGTGTGTGTGTGTGTGTGTGTTTACTAGTTGTGTTTTTACGGGGGTTGAGCTTTGCTCTTTCGGCCCGCCTCTCAACTTTCAATCAACTGTTTACTAACTAACTAACTAACTTTACTAACTTTTTTTTTTCTCCACACCACACACACACACACCCCAGGAAGCTGCCCGTGACGGCTGACTAACTCCCAGGTACCTATTTACTGCTAGGTAACAGGGGCATTCAGGGTGAAAGAAACTTTGCCCATTTGTTTCTGCCTCGTGCGGGAATCGAACCCGCGCCACAGAATTACGAATCCTGCGCGCTATCCACCAGGCTACGAGGCCCCTGTGTGTGTGTGTGTGTGTGTGTGTGTGTGTGTGTGTGTGTGTGTGTGTGTGTGTGTGTGTGTGTGTGTGTGTGTGTGTGTGTGTGTGTGTGTGTGCGCGCGTGCGTGCTCTCTCAATATAACACAACCTACATTCAGAATCCAACATTCCTGGTGTTTAACAATTTAACAATTCTGCCGAAGTTGTGAAGTTGAGGTCGTAGTCGAGCGCAGTGAAAACATTCTCCTCCCCAAACTTTATCAGACACAGTGATATCAAAGTTGCTATTGGCCTGTTATGTCCCGTCACTGTCTTCAATTATGTTTCCAAACTTCCACGGATTTTTTTTACTCTATTTTTTTTAAGATCACTGCACAGTGTTCGTGGATGAGTGGAGACAGATAGGGAGGTTGGCCGGGTGGGAGGGAGGACAGGTGGGCGGACGAGGAAGTAGGCCGGGTGGGCGGACGAGGAAGGAGGCCGGGTGGGCGGACGAGGAAGTAGGCCGGGTGGGTGGACGAGGAAGTAGGCCGGGTGGGCGGACGAGGAAGGAGGCCGGGTGGGCGGACGAGGAAGTAGGCCGGGTGGGCGGACGAGGAAGGAGGCCGGGTGGGCGGACGAGGAAGGAGGCCGGGTGGGTGGACGAGGAAGGAGACCGGGTGGGCGGACGAGGAAGGAGGCCGGGTGGGTGGACGAGGAAGGAGACCGGGTGGGCGGACGAGGAAGAAGGCCGGGTGGGTGGACGAGGAAGTAGGCCGGGTGGGCGGACGAGGCAGGAGGCCGGGTGGGCGGACGAGGAAGTAGGCCGGGTGGGCGGACGAGGAAGGAGGCCGGGTGGGCGGACGAGGAAGGAGGCCGGGTGGGTGGACGAGGAAGGAGACCGGGTGGGCGGACGAGGAAGGAGGCCGGGTGGGTGGACGAGGAAGTAGGCCGGGTGGGCGGACGTGGAAGGAGGCCGGGTGAGCGGACGAGGAGGAAGGGATGGTGGGGCTGAGATCACGCCATCAATCCCGCCCAGTACGAGAGACACCCGCTAAAATACATCCCATTGTAAGCTAAATTCGTCTCCAATTTGTGGAATTGCTCCTTTGCCAAATGAAAAATAGAAATATTGGCCATTGATATTTTGTTCACTGTTGCACGCACGTTCGTGTGTGTGTTTGTGTTTACTATTTGTGCCTACAGAATCCATACTGACAAGTAACTTTGCAAACGCTTTGCACACGACATGTCACTCTCTTGTTCCTTTCTCATCGGAAACGACGAGAAAGAAAATGCCATCTTCTCCTGCTCCTAAATAGTTGTTCATTGACATCTTATTGCCTCCACAATGTCTCTTCTGTATCATCCAACGGAGTGAAGAGTAACTCTCATGTTGGGGTGAGCCTAAGTCATGAGGCTGTACGGTGTTCACAACTCCCTTCACATCTCTGAACATTCTCCTCTCCATATGCAGGCGATGAGTCACAATAACGTGGCTGAAGTATGTTGACCAGACCACACACTAGAAGGTGAAGGGACGACAACGTTTCGGTCTGTCCTGGACCGAAACCGTCGTCGAAACCGTCCTGGACCTCAAGTCGAATGGTCAAGGACGGACCGAAACGTCGTCGTCTCTTCACCTTCTAGAGTGTGGTCTGGTCAACATTCTCCTCTCCACTCTGCACTTACCATTCTTTAGTCGTGTATCACTGTTCCCACGCACTCTCTTCTTCTTCTTACCTGCAATTGAACAAAAATAAACCGATTACAATTATTTAATACAAAATACAACATAATGCTGAGCCCTAAATTAATCAAAACACACTAACATACTCTCTTATAATTACCTAACACACAATTTTAATACATGAGTGTTAGGTCACTAATACATTCTCGAACACGCTCCAGCATATACAACGTTCATGTACACTTACACATGCAGACATGCGTACACTTACACATGTACACGCGTTACATGTTATGTAACGATCATCACGGAAATGTTGACATAATTAACATAAAGCTGCTCTGGTTGGTGACAGGAAAGATACAGACATAATAATGTGTCATTTATCGCTGGGACGTTTTCTCGTAAACGAGAGAGGAAACATGGAGAGTAAAATTAATTAATGCTGTAGTGAAGAACTACATCAATCAAAACACATGTTGCTGTTGTTTAAGATTCAGCTACTCGGAATAACAAGTTCCAAGTAGCACGGGCTATGGTGAGCCCGTATTGGACTTACCTGTCACAGGAGCGGGGCTGGAACTTGATCAATACACAAACAGCGACTCATTATGTACGCCTTGCCGTACTAAAAAGTCTTGGCCTCGATAGATAAGCTGGGTGAGTGAAGGCTCAAGCGCTTGAGGTTAGCGGAAAGCCACTTAAAATCGACGTTAGTCAAATCCGGAGAGTAGACTGGAGAGGGATCATCACTAAAAGTGCACGTATCAAATCATGAGGTCACCTTGAAATAAATCCTTGAAGGTCACCTTGAAATAAATCCTTGAAGGTCACCTTGAAATGAATCCTTGAAGGTCACCTTGAAATGAATCCTTGAAGGTCACCTTGGAATAAATCCTTGAAGGTCACCTTGGCATAAATCCTTGAAGGTCACTTTGGAATAAATTCTTGAAGGTCACCTTGGAACAAATCCTTGAAGGTCACCTTGGAATAAATCCTTGAAGGTCACCTTGGAATAAATTCTTGAAGGTCACCTTGGAATAAATTCTTGAAGGTCACCTTGGAATAAATCCATGAAGGTCACCTTGGAATAAATCCATGAAGGTCACCTTGGAATAAATCCTTGAAGGTCACCTTAGAATAAGTCTACTCATTCCCTCAATTTACTTAAATAACTTAATTTGGTATTAAATGCTTATTAAGTGTCTTCCCCTGTATATACGGCGTTCGGACGAGACACAAGGGACGTTCAAACGTCCGGACGAGAAACGATCAAGATGTCCAAGCGTCCGGACAAGAAACGATCAAGATGTCCAAGCGTCCGGACAAGAAATGATCAAGATGTCCAAGCGTCCGGACAAGAAACGATCAAGATGTCCAAGCGTCCGGACAAGAAACGATCAAGATGTCCAAGCGTCCGGACAAGAAACGATCAAGATGTCCAAGCGTCCGGACGAGAAACGATCAAGATGTCCAAGCGTCCGGACGAGAAACGATCAAGATGTCCAAGCGTCCGGACAAGAAACGATCAAGATGTCCAAGCGTCCGGACAAGAAACGAACAAGATGTCCAAGCGTCCGGACAAGTAACGATCAAGATGTCCAAGCGTCCGGACGAGAAACGATCAAGATGTCCAAGCGTCCGGACAAGAAACGATCAAGATGTCCAAGCGTCCGGACAAGAAACGATCAAGATGTCCAAGCGTCCGGACAAGAAACGATCAAAATGTCCAAGCGTCCGGACAAGAAACGAACAAGATGTCCAAGCGTCCGGACAAGAAACGATCAAGATGTCCAAGCGTCCGGACGAGAAACGAACAAGATGTCCAAGCGTCCGGACAAGAAACGATCAAGCTGTAAAAAAAACAACATATTGGTAACAGTGTAGAGGTGACACTAACTAATTAACATGTTAACGTTAATTCAGCAACAATAACGAGTCTTGCCAGGGCATAAAAGAGGACCAACGAACCAGATTAAGCAACACAAATATTTGACATGAAAGTAGTAGTTGTAACCAAACAACGTTCGCAGCGTTGGCAGCAACAACAACAACAATGCTACCTGGCATCAACTTCAATACAATTCAACAACTGATGAATTACCATTACCAAATTTAACATCATCCGACAAACTCATCACCATCCATCCACTGAAAGCTCATTAATCTAACTCGAAGCGTTGAGAGAGAGAGAGAGAGAGAGAGAGAGAGAGAGAGAGAGAGAGAGAGAGAGAGAGAGAGAGAGAGAGAGAGAGAGAGAGAGAGAGAGAGAGAGAGAGAGAGAGAGAGAGAGAGAGAGAGAGAGAGAGAGAGAGAGAGAGATGAGAGAGAGAGAGAGAGAGAGAGAGAGAGAGAGAGAGAGAGAGAGAGAGAGAGACAGGGTGAATGTTGGGTACATTCTCGCAGTCAATTCTATCATTCCGGAGGATCTTGTGGCCGTGTTAAGATGCACTTTGTTGTCTTAAGTGTACCAAATGGTCGTCCTGAAAGGTTCTATGGTCGTGCTAGGACGCCTTTTGTCGTCGAGAGCGCGTAACATGCGCGCTCTATGGGTCAAGAGACTTGCAAATGGTGGTTTTTGTTCCAATAAATTTCAAGGTCGCGTTAAAGCACCCATGGTCGCCTTTTGAATATTTTTAGTAGCCGTGTGCCTTCAGGTGTTTAGGTCGTGATAAAACCATTGGGTTCAGTAGTTCAGAGGTCGTGCTGAGGGATGACTCTATGTTGTTCTCAGGTGGTGAGGGGCGGCGCTGAGAGAGGTCACAGGGGGTGCTGAGACAGATCACAGGGGCGCTGAGACAGATCACAGGGGCGCTGAGACAGATCACAGGGGCGCTGAGACAGATCACAGGGGCGCTGAGACTGATCACAGGGGCGCTGAGACAGATCACAGGGGCGCTGAGACAGATCACAGGGGCGCTGAGACAGATCACAGGGGCGCTGAGACAGATCACAGGGGCGCTGAGACAGATCACAGGGGCGCTGAGACAGATCACAGGGGCGCTGAGACAGATCACAGGGGCGCTGAGACAGATCACAGGGGCGCTGAGACAGATCACAGGGGCGCTGGTACTAGTCGCAAAATGATCACATAAGAATGATGATGGATACATTAATCATCCTTGTTTGTTTTTTACCCGAGATATTAACACATTATCCCACCAACCCCAAGACAAAGCCGTAACATCAACTCTGTCGAATATCTCTGGATATTTTCTAGTTTCATGTTATGATTTATCGGAATATGCGAATGCCGCGTGCTTGCACGCGCGCGCGCCTGTGTGTGTGTGTGTGCATGTGCGTGTGCGTGTGTGTGTGTGTGCATGTGCGTGTGTGCATGTGCGTGTGCGTGTGCGTGTGCGTGTGTGTGTGTGTGTGTGTGTGTGTGTGTGTGTGTGTGTGTGTGTGTGTGTGTGTGTGTGTGTGTGTTTGCGCCCGCGCGTGCGTTTCTGTACGCGTGTAAGATACGTGCATACGTGCGTGATTGTGTAAGTCGCCTCCATTGATTTCTTGCAATTCAGCAGAGGCAGGAGAGCGAGCACAGTGCTTCCTGCCTCACATGTACAATACTCATTACTCCTCAGGATCCCTCGCTTAACACTCACCTTAACCCCTCACCTCCCCGCCCGCCCCCTCACAATCACCTCCCCGTGTGGCAAGACCACAGCCATCTGCCCCCTCCTCCCCCCCCCCCCCCCCCCCCCCTGAGGCACCATTACACCCTCAATGGCACTTTTATTCAGTCGTGTATTCCAAGTCCATTGTGGCGGCCGCTCCAACGACCAGCATGTTTACCGTCTTAAAAATAAAAAATAAAAAACAAAAAAACACCCTGACTTCATTAGCAAGGAAAAGAAAACATCGACCGTGCCATTTCCAATACTCCTTATCCACAATCCCATCAGAGGAATATTTGCTCTCAGAAATAGTCTTCTTTCTCGGGCCCTTCGCCTCTCGCTGGATGAGGCCAAAAAAAACGAAATAACAACGTGAGCTCCAGTAGAAACCTGGAGTGTGTTTCCTGCACCTCGTCCGGGGAGGCGCTGGTCTGGGCCCCCGGCCACACTAACACTAACGGCCCATCACAATGTATGTCGGAAGTAGCTTGTAATATTAAATGGAATGTAATTTTTGCCAATGATAATAACTCTTGTATAAAATTTGTGTGGATCCCATCCCATGTTGGAGTTGAAAAACATGACTTTGTAGATCAATTGGCCAATGAGGCTTGCAGGAAAGAAAACATTGATTATGATTTTGGACTATCTAATGCAGTTATTAGAAACATACAAATTAAAGAAATTAATTCAGATTTAGAAGAACTAAGAAATGCACAGAGACCTGAAAGCTGCAGTATTAAAAGTTATGACAAGTTCTGTAATAATAGGTATTTGTATGGTCAGCACAGTAACCGGACCAGGCAATGTGATGTAGTAATCGCGCGAATTCGCCTTGGCTATAGACACATCTGGCAGGTTAGTGAGGCTGAGCCACTACCAGAATATTCAGATTGTAAACTCTGTGATAAACCTTTAATGCATTCACTAGAACACTATATTGATGAATGTGAAACCGTAAAGGACTTTAGACCTCCTGGCCTATTGTACCACCAACTGTGTAACTATTTTATTGACTCAGGTGTTCTGGACGACATCCTAACAATTTACCCAAAATTTGCTTGTCCATTTTAAAGAATGAAGAACAATTTCTACTTATATTCTAAGCTGTATCACTTATGAACCCATCCCTGCACTTGTGTGGCAGTGCACAATAGAAAGTTGTTTTCACATATCCACACATTAAAACATTGATTGTAACCGTGATATATATGTGCTTCAGCCTACAGTTTAGGCCTATTGTCTTATGTATGACCCTCTGTCCTGCGTGACAGTGAATACTAGCATTAACCTCAATTTAATAAGACTATCAAAATCCTCAGATTAGGCAAAATTGTAATTAATTTTGTCAATAAAGATGTTAATAATAATAATAACACTAACGGCGCGGGCATAGAGAGAGAGGGGGTACTGATGACGTCCAAGTAAACGCCAGCGTTCTAATTACGACCGTAATGTCTCGGTTATCTGAGTGGCCGTCCACGGAGGGAAGGATGGAGTGTATGGGGGGGATTGCTAGAATGGGGGGAAATGGCCAGCAAAAGTAAAGAGGCGGTTTAGAAACAAAGAAAGGGGAGCTAGAGGGAGAAAGAGCCTGTCGGAAGCAGATCTGGAGAGGAAGGGGAGTTCGGAGAAAGACAAAAGAAATACATCGGTAT